GGGGGGGGGGGGGGTGTGGCATAATACAGGACCCACGCGGGTGACTTCGAGCTGCTGGTCTCCGGACCGGATTTCAAAAGGGGTCCCGCGGTTCGCCGGTGACTTCGAGCTGCTGGTCTCCGGACCATGTTTCAAAGGGGTCCCGACAGAATTTTTGAACGTCGGCGATCTCTGAAAGAGGATTACGAAAGGGCACCCGCTCGATGCATACGTAAAGGAACGAAATGTTGACTATTAACGTTGCATTGTCTTTGCCTTGGGATTTCTCGAAAAAGAAAAACGGACCAGATAAACTCTGCCACAACCTGTGCGCCGTCCTGTACCCGTGTGCTGGCACGTTTTGGTATGATGCCACGAGGACAGCCTCTACTGCAAGCACAGAAATAGAAACAGCAAATAGGATTTTCACCTTGACCGGGAAAAAAATCTGTTCCCTGTTCCACGAGTGTCCGCCGGTCGTCCTGACCCCAACACCGCTTGTAAACTCGTACTCCTGTGACCGGGGTGGACAAGCGGCCCGAGGAGCCAAACCAAAGGGTAGGTGGGAAAGACGGACGGACAGCAGTATACAGGACACAGGACGTGGCCGATGTATGAGACTTGATTCACCGCAAGGTGCAATGCAGTAGGGAACCTCTGCATTACGGGACCTTTCACGCAAACAGTTTAAGGGGAACCTCTGCATTGGGGAACTTCATCCCCACCAACGTTGGGGGAACGCTGCACTAGGGAACCTCAACCTGAAATTGGCAGGGGAACCCCACACAAATAATAGGGATACGATTTTGTATTCAACAGCCGCTGCATTAGGGAACCTCAATCTTGAAGTGGCAGGGGAACCCCACCCAAAAGGGGGATACGGTCCCGCTGCCAACTCTGGTGTTAGGTTTCCCAATGTAGAGGTCGTTGAATACGAAATAGTATCCCCATTAAGGTGGGGTTCCCCTGCCGTTTTCAGGTTGAGGTTCCCTAATGCAGCGTTTCCCCAACGTTGGTGGGGGTGAAGTTCCCCGATTCAGAGGTCCCCCTTGCACTGCTATTCGTGTAAAAGGTCCCATAATGCATAGATTCCCCAATGCAATGCAAGGGCGAGAATGGCCCGCGTGGTGTTTCCACCAACACATGTGTGCAGGAAGTTCTACAAGAGAAACCAACCCGTTAGGGATGGGTTTCGAAATGCGTTCAATACTTTAGTATTCTTTGGTATTCGTAATGATAAGCGTTGCATGGAGAAAAGGGTCTTCACAGCGGTCTGGTTCCTTCGTGCCGCGTCCGAACAATCGGACAAGAACGAGGCGAGCGTTGGGGTTCGTGCTCACAGCGATATCCAATCACACAGGAGAGAGGCCATCATTTTCCTGCAACACATGCACCGGATTTGTGTCTGTCAAAGTGTCTAGACTACTGTTTTTTTTAACGCCGCGGCTTACCTAATATCTATCTATGGACCGCGGTCGGAGACCGACTCCAGAACAGCACTCACCCCTAGGGTAAACCGGCAGTACGGCGAGGCTTGAGGTGACAGGCCCAGCATGTCGCTCACCCCCCCCTGCTTGACTCTCTTGACGTCCCTCGCGGCGATCAGGCCCACGTGGAGGGAACCTACCTCGAGCATATCTTCTACTCCGACAGCAGCCATAGTGGAAACCAAGTACAGCAGTACCTGCTGTACGCAGAAAGTGGGGAGTGCGGAGGATCTCGACTGCTGGCGCTGACAGCGTCGGTAAACGTGCTCCCTGGTTCACGACCTGCGACAGCGATGCTAAAGGTTTTCTGGCTGAAATCGAAGCGGAGAGAGTGGTCGAGGCACTGCTGTGGGGTGCAAAGTGCAAGGCACTAGGAACATTGCAAGACCGTTTACTTACTGCACAGGACGAAGCAGCCGATCATGCGGTGCCTGGTAAAGCCCATCCTGAACATCGTAGGGGTTCCGTGTGCACGGTCAGTCATCAGTCATAACATACTGCTGCTGGCTGTACCTACCCCCCGAACCTGGTTTGGTTTCGCGACGTGAGTTTGGGTTCGCGAAACGAACCCGGGTGACGAGCTCATGAAGGTTCGTGACTCTTACGTTTCTCGTGGTCTCGTCATCTGTGGTTGTGTCTTGTGTCTTGTGTATCGTGTCTCGTGCAGCTGGTCTTTCTCGTGGTCTCATGTCTCGTCGAGCAAGTGAGCCAGTGTACAACACCAGCCAGAACATCCCACGTGATAAACAGACGGAGGATGACGACAACACAGCGGCGAAAAGGGAGGGCTGGCGGTACCGTAGCGTCCCCTAATCCCCGAAGTCTGCTGGCTGCTGACCCAGCAGTAGTGGATGCAAGGGCAGGGAGCTCGAAAGCATCAGCGGAAGGCAAGAAGAAGAGTGCTTCACGCCACCAGGAGTAGCGGCGACAGCAGCAGCGACAGCAGCAGCTCGAACGTATGCATATTTGTGCATTACGAGCTCGTTTGTACGGTCTCCATCCATACACTGCTGTTGCACTGCTGTAAGTTATGCAAGTTATGCACAGCAGTGTCGTTTAGGCGGGGGTTGAATCTGCTGTTGTACTGCTTTTTTTTTTCTTCTTTTTTTCTCCCATCATTGGACACTGCCGTCTGCCCCTCTGGCCCCTATCCTCCACTTCTACAAGCTAGACGACCCAACCGGGGTCACATAGGAGGGGGGGGTTGGACCCCCGCCTGCGGTCCCGCTGTATTTTTTTTTTCTCCCATCATTGGACTCTGTCGTCTGCCCCTCTGGTCCCTATCCTCCACTTCAACCAGCTGGACGACCCAACCGGGGTCACATAGGAAGGGGTGGTTGGACCCCCTCCTGCGGTTCCTGCCTGAGGTATTTTTATCGCGAGAAGGGTACAGCAATCCCTTCCCTCGCGACTTTTGAAGTCGATCAAGTTTAGAAACAACGAGCTTTGCAGCGCGTCGCTTCCAACGGATTCCAGGATTTAATTAGCGAGAGAAAACTCACTCTGTCGGCACTCAAACCGATGACCTGGCCCTTAGCAGGCTGCGAGGCTACCCACTAGACCACCGGGACGACCGGTGTATGTAGAATCGGGTAAGTTGGGTTGGGGTTGGGTTGTTGCTGTTGTTGTTGTTGTTGTTGTTGTTGTTGTTGTTGCTGTTGGTTGTCTTTACATTAAAAATCGTTCCGATCTCTCTCTACCCAGTACCTTCGTATGTCCGTACTGATCCAACTCTCCCTTCTTCCCCTCGCTCCTCGACAAGCTTTTGCTTAGACATGGGTTGTANGTAGGGGGTGATGTTGCTGTAGTCGAACGGTGAGACGGACGTGTAGTTCAGTTTTGGGCACGCGTACGGTGCTGCAGGGATTATATATAGGTGTAGTAGTACCTCTTCGGGCTCTTGTACACCTTTTTCTTGCTACGTGTGCGTGTTCTTTAGATCCTCAGATGGCTCTAGCACTTTCGTGACCACGGGCCGAGAGTCTTTGCTAGATTTTGGCATTTAGCAACTGGCATACGGTTTAATGTGAAGTCAACAACAACAACAACACTCGACGCGGTCGATTCCCGTGGTCGCAGGCTAACTTACCCTTAAAAGGTACACTCAAATATAATGGCCCCGAGGGGTCCGCAAGTCAATAGAAATCAAGGACAGATTCTGGAGTCTTCCACTCCCTCTGCGCGCTATGCGAGGTAACAACTGAGACTATGCATTGGAGTCACCATCACGGGCCGGAGAAAATGAGGTACACCCCCTGTAGGGCCTGCTGGGTAGCACCTGTCTGGTCTTTTTTGTGAGGCCAACTCTTGTGAAGGGTCTACATTTTGTCTGGAAACTACAGAATGAGGTGGTTCAACTAAACTGGTGAACGTTCAGGATGGACCACCAGGTCTCCAGTACATGGTTGGATATTCTCGGGGATGCCGCGTAGTCGCCGTGAGATGCCGTGTATGTGACAAAAGAAAGCTGCTTGAGGGCGTAAGCTGTAGACTAAACATGGAACAGGGAACTAGAATCCCTGTTCCCTGTTCCGCGTCGTTGTTTCTTAACTTTTACACCGCAGTAAACGGGAACACGGAATATTTCAGTGTGCACATGCGGCCCGCAGGTCCTCAAAGGCAACAAATACAACCATTGGATGCAGAAAGCCGAGTGGGGGGTAGAGGAAGGAGGTGTAGGTTTTGAAGTAACTGTTGATGAGCACACATCAAACACATGTGCTAGTATCGGCTGGAACAGGCGGTGCTCGTCATGCAATCCGCACCCTCGACAGTGCTCTGGAAGGCTTGCTTTTTGAGTTGTGGTCCACCCCAGCTTGCCGTTTCTTTGAAACTTTTTGTCCCCCATATGCACACGACGGCTACACGAGCATCCGCCGCCGATTTTTTGCATGCGAGACACTTGATTATCGGGACAACGCCTTTGCGCCGTAACCCGTAGCATGCAGCACCTGTGGCAGTCACATGCCCGAGAGTGATCACACACATCTCTCCACATCCTGAATTTCCACCGAAGAGCCCGTATTTCACGTTCCCTGTGGTCGTTGGTTAATGTTAATGAACGAGTTCATTTAGGCCCTTCCCCCGCTGGCGATCGCCGAAAACGCTGATTCCAGAAAACTATCACCGAAAAACAGCAGTAAAAACAATCGCCGAAAATACATAGAAAACGCCGATTCTGAAGGGGGCCCGCCCGAATCGAAAGTAAAGGTCGCCGATTGTCGGCGATGAAATTCACGGTGCCCTCTGTACCTCCTATCTGTACGCTCTACACAGCTGCACACAGCTGAACGGCGTTGCTATGTCGTCGGCTCTTAGCGGTATGGAACACTACTCGAAAATTAGTTGGGATAAATAAAATCAGTGAAAGCGAAGGGGATTCGGAGAATTAGGTGCAATTTGTCCTCCAAACGACAAGTGCAACAGGGGCAGGGTCCATAGTAGTAGGCGCCGCAGATGCCAACAACGGCGGCGGTAGCGACGAAAACGATGGAAACGATGAAGACAGCGACTGAAGACCTGTGTTTTGTAAATTTAATGTACATGTCTTGTGTCGTAGGTCGAAGGGGTAAAAGTTTTTTTTTGCCCCAAGTAGCGCGTCATCCTGTCCTATTCCAGAAGTTTTTTCGATGTTAAGTGAAGGCTCGGAAAATTTGCATGTTGTCTGTAGGAAAAAAATAAAACGGCACATTATTTCTTCGCCTGTCGCCGACAGGTGACCTCGGCAGCAGTCTGACAGTCAACAGCCTCGCGACCCGCTCGTTTTTTGTGTGTACTAGAAGTACAGATATGCGTCGCGATAGTCGCTTCGATGAAGTCGCTGAAGTAAAATAGCGAAAGGTAGCAGCCGAAGAAAATCGCCGAAAAATCGCCCAACATGAAACAGGACTCACCGAAAACATATTGAATAGCCGAACGTCGCCGAAAAGAGTTCATTTTCATCATTAACATTCGCCGAAAAAAATCGTGAAATGCCGACAAAAAAAGTCGCCGGCGGGGGAAGGGCCTAAGGTCATTACAAATTTGGTGCGTTGTTGTTGTTGTTGTTGTTGTTGTTGTCTTCACATTAAAAACCCGTTCCGCTCTCCACTGAGTACCTTCTAATGTCCGTACTGGTCCAACTGACGCGGAAGCCTTCCGTGGTCACAAGCCAACTCCCCCCTCCGCGTAACTACCTCAAACAGGGGACGTGTCAGACATGTCTTCTTTCCAGGAAATATGTTTTGTGTGGCCGGCCAATCAGACTAAAAGTCCGAGTTCCCTGTTCCTGTTCCCTTTCCAGAAAACGCCCTGAGCTCTCTGTACGTCACATGGTACCCTCCTTTGACTTTACGATTCCCCCCTCCAGTGCCCACTGGAGGCGCGGGTGGGCCTCCCAATTCCCTAGGGCTATTTTGCAGTGACGCGACGGAATCGACGACGTCCTACAAAACATTTATTTTTTTGAACGATGTTCACCCTTAAACCGCTCCGAGGCACCAGGTTTTCATTCCCTCCCGCGAACATCCAATTAATTTCAGGAAATTTTGAATCATGGTCTCCCCGGAGAGAACATACAAGGTGCAAGATGCACGAATTCGAGGCCTCGGCCTCGCCTTGAAGCTTCCTAGTGAGTCGTCCCACCAGCACTCCACACCTCACTTACGCGACACACGTAACTAACTCGATAGCAAAAAGATATCCTCGCCCTATGCGAACGAGCAGCAGCACGAGGCGCAGCCGCCGCCACAGCAGCAGCAGCAGCAGACATAGGCACTTGGGATCAGTACCTAGTCCCGCCCGCGTTTGCGCCAGTTTGATTCCCGGCCGCGGTGGCCAGGGGCCTCATCGGTCGCCACCTCGCCCAGGGGCGCAGCAGGCCGAGCTGGGCCATCCCCCAAAAAGAACGCTCGCTCCAACCCCCCAGGCGCCAATCCTGCCTAGGGGGACTGCTGTCGACATTCGTGGCTCTTCCTTGTTGTGCCGCACACTGAACTAACTCGTGGTCTGTTTTGCTACAAAGGACCCGCAACCATGTTCTCCACTGTCCCCACAACTCTCTCTGTTGATCTTCCTGTTTTAACTGTTGGTGTGGGTATGAAGTTTGCGTGCACAACTCTAGTGAAAACCAGCGCTTATCTATGCATATCATGAATCACAGCCACTCTGTCACACTTCCACTCGTTGTTAGTAAACCATAATCGACTTCGTAAGTCGCGAGGGAAGGGATTGCTGTACCCTTCTCGCGATAAAAATACCTCAGGCAGGAACCGCAGGAGGGAGTCCAGTCCCCCCCTCCTATGCTTCCCCGGTTGGGTCGTCTAGCTAATAGAAGTGGAGGAGAGGGACCAGAGGGGCAGACGACAGAATCC